AACATGAGTGTTAGGTTTATTGGCTTCTCTAAATTCTTCGTAGGTGTGAGTATTTGTTTGAATGGTTGCTTGTCTCTGTGTTTCCCTGCGATGGACTGGCGACCTGTCCAGGGTGTATCTCCAGCTGGAGATTGCTACCAGCACCCCTCGTGACCCCAGCGTGGATAAGCGTGACAGAAAATGAATGGATGGATGGTCTCTGGTCTTAGACGTTTCCAAATACAATTGACAAAGCACAGCTGTTATTGCAGTTTAATGTCCGACTGCTTTATCCATTGCAGAATGAGGTTTTGGTTTGTGTTTGGGATCATTGTCCTGTTGTGTCAACGTCCAAACACCCTGCTCTTTAAAGTGAGCTTTTATCCATTTCATATTATGTTTCCCGTGTTCACAGTAGACAAGGCAAGTTTATTCATATACTCCATTTCAGTGCCAAGATCATTCTAATTGCTCTACATGAGGGAATGAAGAGAACTGCATTGCAGTGGCATAATGGCAAGACAAATACTTGAAGAAAATAAAAGTGAACAATAAAAAGAAGACGATTGTATTAAAAAGGAAAGTTGAACGCTTAAGTAATAAAAAATAAAAATATCTTGGATTGTGTTTAAAAACAGAATGCCTGATAAATTGTTCCAGGTCTGAACCTTATAAGACTCAGATATTTCCTAAATATAGTTTATGTGTTTGCTAATAGTAATTTCAATGTGTACAAGTTGTATTTGTGACATTTTAAGTTCATTTTTATCAAAGTCCCTTCTCGAGTCTCTAGGGCAAAAGTCTGGGTTAATTCTGTAGTCTTTTATTGTCGAGACTAAAGCAAGAGTCTCAAACCTTTGGTGTTAGTAGCCTTTATCTCTAACACTGATGATGAGTGATAACAAATTAAAGTTGTATACACAAGATTTAAAGGACTCATTATCAAAGGCCCCAAATGACATGCATGCCTGTGGCAAGTGCTTTTAAACGTACTACAACTTACAAGTGCTGAAGCAGTACTTGTCAGGGAATATGCAACATAAGCTCCATTCACACTAACCTCTGAAAACCGATTCGTGCCAAGCTTCGATCAGTTAACCGTGCCAAGCTGGGTTCCTTACAACCATTTACACACCACGCTAGCACAGTTCCTTCCCACCTTGTGGTGATCTACGGTACCACTGCTCTCTAAAGAGATAAACAATCAAACCAACATTACAGAGCCTGTTACATTCAGGAAGTTATGTGTTTTTATCATTTTGATATTTCCTTGTTTGCGGAGAGAGTCAGCTGAAGAAGGCAGCCTTTGGTGAATTTATTTGACAGAGTCGGATTTTGGGAAGTGGATACGACAAACAATAGTTTAATCAGAGCTTTCAGACGCAGGAAACAGCATCAAACATTTAGGCGCATCACACTGCTAAGCAGAATGATCACTGGGAATCATTTTGCAAGGTAGTAAAGCTTGTATTTTTATGAATGTTAGAAGTTTGTCGGAAGTTTTTAGTTTATAATGAAGGCTCACTTTAAGGAGATGACACAGCCTTCTCTTGCACTGTTTGTTATCTGAGAACCGAGCTTGAACCTAACCGTGCCGAGCCCTACTGATGAACTAGTACCATGTTAGCGCAGTTCCGTTGTGTCTGGAGTGGTCCGGTTCAATTTATGTGTGATGTTTACATTCAATAGTTATCTCAGTTTTCGTGCTCGGCGCCATCTGGACACGGTTTTAAAAGGGTAATGTAAATGGGGCTATAGAAAAAACCTGTTTCCTATGGAATGATTACCTGAATTAGTTGCAGCCGAAACTGAAAAAACATCACTATTTGCAGAAAACGATTGTGTTACAATTACTTTTTTGTGCTTTGTTTAACTGAATACCAGAGTTGTTACAGTGTTTGCAAAAAGGATATTCATGATGCTTTTTACTTTGTTTTCATTCCATTCTTTTAGCCATTTTAGCGCTTTTACTTTGTGTTTGGTTCTTAATCAGTCAGCCAGAAATTGTACACAGCTTCAATTTAATATAAGTAAAATAAATCAATGACTTTGTACTTTTCTCCCTTGAGAAAAGTTTTTTTTTTCTTCTTTCAAATTAGAAAGTTTGTTGTTGGTCTTCATTCAAATTTAGTTGAAGTTTATTTTTAGTAAAATTTTCGATGGCAGTTTTAGCTGTTTTTCATAATGCATCATCTTGTAGTTTTCATATGTTGACAGAAACTAGACACTTGTCTAGGTTCAGTAGAGATAAAGTGCTTCACTGCCTGTACCTCCACCAAGTAATCAAATAGGATTGTACTGCATGATTGTGTCGTCCCACACAGTGCGCATACGCATCATCCCCAGGTTTACTCAAGGAGACTGTTAATTTGCATGTAAGCCTACACTTACATACATTGGACACAGTCATGCATTCAGGCCAACACATCACAGTCGAGGCTTTAATGAGCAACAGTATTCGCTGCTTTTTATCTCTGTGTGTCAGATACACAAACTATAAGAGCAGCAGTCACCGGTCTGTCACTCACAGCATTGGCTGTGTTTGCTTTGTTGATTGGAAAGTCGGCGCATACACCTCACTGCTGTTTTCTCAAACCATCCGTTTCTTATCTTGTAGAAGATTCATTTAAAGTAACTGCAGTAATACACTAAAGCCAGCAAAATTTATGAAACACATGCAAATTGGGATTTGATTTGCTCAAGGTTATATTCACCATCCAAAAGCAGCAAAATGGTGGACAAAACCTTTGAATAAGAAAATACCATCAGAAAGAAAGGACTGTGGCAGTGTAGTACAATGTTTTTATTTCGTTTTTTGTATGTATACAGAGAACATAAGAGCTCTACATGAGAACATGTAACAGCTCTCTTTTGTCCAATGACATAGAAAGACTCAATGTCCTTGGATACTATTATTTCAGCGATGCCTTACCTTACTTTTTTTACTGTAACATACAGAGACATTTCACCACATAAACCAAGCTTAAACAGATGCTTTTATTACAAAAAAGATTTCTTTTACATGAGTTACATGGCTTTCATGGGCCATTTATAGAGCATAGCTGCCCTATTGCTAAGGAATCGATGCAACCATCTCTCAGATATTTCAGGAATAGCAGAGTAACACCCTATGCAGTGCTGAGCTGTCCACAGATAATGGTGATTCACCCCCCACGTCATGAAGTCTACTTGAAACTCAATGTGAACTGACAGCTTGAGCTACTTGTCAGATAAACTTAACCAATAATTATCTGACTTCCTTTATAACACTGATTGAGAATTGAAATGTGTTACTTAATTATGAAGAAATAAGATAAATGGATGAAGTCAGGATTAAAGATTGTTAAATATGGCACAAAAAGGAAGAAATTTATTCTTTTGGCAGCCATTCTTAGAATAGAATAGAATAGAATAGATAGAATAGAATTAAACTTTTTTTCCATTACATTGTCAAGTACAAAACAAAGAAATTCACTTTACGTTTAACCTGTCTCTTTGGGGAGCAGTGGGCTACCATTTTGCGGCGTACAATGAGCAGTGTGGGGGGTTAAGGGTCTTGCTCACAGACCCAGAGTGCAGGCTGCGGGGATCGAACCTGTTACTTGCAACCTTCTCAGAAGCGTATTGCTCTAACCACTAGGCCTACTACCCCCAATAAAAAGTCCCATCCACTGTAGTGTTATGCAATATTACTTGGTAGACTTGCTACAAATTTTCACAATTTTTTCACTGCCTGCCAACCGATCCTCAAAACTCTTTCATGTAACGACTACTTTATTCCACTGCACCCAAAAGTAAAAGGAGAATACCTCAGACACCAAGCTGGTGGTGCTCCGGATTAGATCGTATCCGCTGCAGTCAGTAATTACTTTGAGAACGTTGCCATTGGTCTTGGTCAGCTGGGTTTTATAAAGTTGACGCAGCCATATACAGGGACCTTTTATAGCACTCCATGCTTCCCTCTGTTGACAGGTTTTATGGAGATACTGATTTGATTTCCCAGCAGGACTTGGCACCTTAACACAACCTTCACAAATAGAACTTCCTGCGTTAATGTATGTCCATGATCTGATTATACTAGCAAACTCGCCTTAACGAAACTCCACAAAGTATATATGTTTTTTTAACAAGGTGAAGATCTGTAAAATAACAAAGTAGATACATTGAAAGCTGCTACGAAATCAAATTGGACTTCTGAGGTCAAACCAGTATTCAAATTGAAACGAATTTCGGAAATAAATCATTTTGATGGCGTTCTAATTGAGAAGCACCTGTCTATTTAAATTAGCAATTAGGACAGAATGCCATATCATTGTAGGCTTTACTTACTATTTCTGCGGCCTTAGCCATAGATTCATATGTGACTGTGTGTATGTGTGTGTTGGTGTGTGTTGATTTGCACCGACTTGCACTCATGTGTGACCTTCGGAAGGACAGAAAGAATAAGTAGGGAGGTGGCTTTGACTGCGGCACATCGATCCTGGACCCCTGCATTCCTCTGCTCAACAGTCACTCCCTCACACACTCACACACACACTGAATACACATCCACACACGCCTCATTGGCCAAATAGACTTACATATGAGTGACGGGGCCAATTTCTCTCCTTTTCCCCCCTCTTGGTAATTTATGGCCATTGATCTACCCTGCGCTAAATTTATATATATACTCATCGTGCTCTAAGGTTCTCTCACTTTCACACAAGCACAATCGGCTCTTTTGTGTCGCTTACAATGCCGTACAGTGACACATGCTCCTGCTGCCTCAGCACGAATTGTGCAAAGAAAGTATAGGAACATGCTGAAGGACTCAGTAAGGGTGAAGCTCAGTTTAGCTATGCACATGTGAAAATGAGCTGGAGTCATTAACACTATGAAATGCATATTAGAGTAAACTGCATTAAATATCAAAATCCTTTCTGGGGAACAAGTAGTCTTGAAGAGTTCCTTCTTAATGTTATTCATCCTCAGCTGTTTAAGTTAATTTGATTACCTACCCCTTCCTGTTTGCTTGTACCCAGGTGCCTCTCCATCCCCAGCAGACAGCCAGGTGCTTGGTGACGGCGAACGCAGCCGGGAGCAGATTCTACTCACTCTGAGCGATTTGTCTCGGGGGTTCCAAGATATTGCTGACCGTTGTCTCTTGGTTTTACATCTGGAAGTCAGGTAGGAATAGAGACTGAGGAATGGTCACCTTTATTATGGTATTTCATATTGGTTTCTTTTTTTCTTTTAGTTTCAGGTAAATTTTGAGCTATAATTATGTATTTGAGTTCCTTTTGGAAAGGCTAAATCCAACCAGGGCCGTTGCATAGGCTGTATGAGCTGTGCAACTGCAGAGGGCCTTTAGTTGCTTAGGGGCCTCAACTGCAATTTTTTTCCTTTTTATTATAAATGCATTTGTTATATGTTATTGCATCTGTTTCTTTTCAGGACACAGAAATGTAAAAGAAACATAGAATAAATGTAGCTATTTATTTTATGTTTGCTATGTCATAACACCTACTTTGAAGAAAGAGGTGTGAAGCTAACATAAGAGAACACAGCTGGTTTCATAAATCTGGTTCTAGGATAGGAAAAAATAAATAAAAAGAAGCGGGAATTCAATATGTCACCTCGATATGAATTAATTATCCCTATAAAGTGGTTCATCAGACTCTCATGAAACGTTTCTGTGAAGTGTGCACAGTCTGGTGAGTCCGTCTCATATTTTAGAGGTACTTTGAAGTGAATAGGTTCTGTATAGTTTTAATGAAATAAGAAAGAGTTTTAAGCTACTTTTGTAAGAGATGTCAAGATACAACAAATAAAGTGACTGAGCTGATTAAAATATCAACAAGTTATAGCTGAGTAATTTATTAGTCTCTTGTTGAATTTTGCGCTGATCTCTAACATAATATCTGCAGTCATAGTTAATTTTAGTTGTCAGTGGAAACTGTTTTTAGATCACAGGTGTCCTGCTAAAAATTCTCTCCCTGCCATGCTCTCACTCCCTTTTAGGAGTACATTCATACTTAGGATTTTTGGCATGTATATAATTTGTCACATGCACATTGAAGCAACAGAAAGTACAAGTAAAAAAACAAAATACCAAAATGGCTACAGAGACGAAAGGAATTTGATCATTTTGTCTTTCACTTTTGCTCCCCTCATTTCTACATCATACAAGCCGATGCTGTACAGCTAGCATCTACCGCGGAGAGGTACGGGAGGGGCAGTGAGGTAGCAGCTGCTCACAACCTGAGCAATCTCTGAGATTTATGAAGAAAAACCTAAAACCACAGAAATCGAATGACGGAAAACTTTAAATCATTAATTTTTTTTTCAATACTGGGGAAAATAGGGAAACCAGTAACCAGCCAGTACCTTTGTAAAAAAAACTACACTATAAGTAGAAAACACAGCTTTATCAGACGATATTGTCCCAAAATTTAGAAAATTTCTATATATATATAAAAAAAAATCCTTTCTTAAATCTGTTGAGTTTATTTTGTAATCTTATGCAGGCCAGTTAGTTATACGTCAGCCCGTACACCTAAATTTGGCATATCATATATGAACGGTCATTTGTCAAATAAATATTTCGGTCATAGCATCTTGATTCATATGTCGCAGCCAATATACGCGACATACAGTATAATGGTTGAAATAAGAATCATTTACTTTACCATTGAGCTAATGCCCCAGTGTTCACGGGGATGGACGTCTGTGTCTTCGGCAGGCGTAGAGCTAACAGAACTGGCAGCGTTGCGAGGCGAGGGCTCAAACATGTACGGCTGTAAGCCTTCTACACCGAACCAAGCTTCTGCTGCCCTGGCGTCCTCTTCCACAACTTCTTTGTTCCCTCTCTCCTGCTCTAAATAAAAAATGTATGATGGAGGAGACTCTTTCTCGACTTTCGACAGAAAACTTTCCTCCTCTTGCATGTTTCCACTCTCCATAGCGTTCCTTGACACTATCGTTGCTAAGTCACCAATTTAGTGCTACTTGGTTCCAATGTCATTTTCCATTGGGAACCTACTAGCAAGTTGATAACTGGTTAGCAAGATGCTTCCGAGAAACTGGCCACAATCAAACTTGCTTGTGAACCTTCTGCCATAACAATCCCGCCCTCTTGATAAATGACCAATCGCATTCACTTTATTCACTATATGTAAAGTCGGGCACCACTCGAGAGAATTCGGAAATGAAACAGATGGAACAGCCATCTCCCTACAACTTTAAGGTGAGCAGATTTGTGAAATCAAATCTTGGGACATTTCCAGGAAACTGCGACAGTAATGGTTTCATTTGTTTTTACATTTTTATGAATATTTAAACAATAGAAAATAAATGTATACGCCAGGAATGCCTCTCCGCACTGTTAGTATTTCCCAATATTAATAAAATAAATAAATCGATAGTGTCATTAATACAAAACTAGAACTTTTCTTTTACTTTTTAACACATTATTTACACAATTGAAACAATTGAATCAATTATTAATGTAAAACAAGTGTCAGTAAAAAAAATCACTATTAAGGTTAAAACAAGTGTCCTCTAAAAATAGTTAAGTTAGGAGCTTGTTACATTGTTAATCTCCATCATCTGACACAGTACATCACTGAATAAAACCCTCCATGTTTTTGTGTGGCTCTGTGGAAGTAAAACTCCAGCCTCATTTGTTGGGGAAAAGGGTCGGAGGTGGGATATAGGGGTCCTGGTTACCAGGGCTCTCCAATTCTTTGGCGCCTAAAGAGGTCCGACGCCCCCTAAGGGAAGAATTACATGAGGAAAAGGAAAACTGGAACAGTAAATACAAACATTTATCCAACATTTAGCCTATGCCTCTGCCTGTCTGGGGAGACAGAGTTCCCCCACCCATTTCAATTAAAGGCAACAAATACTCATTCTGTTCAATTAGACTTATCTGCGTTAATATGAATCAAAAACAAGTAGCAGTCGAGCCTGCAGGGAAAGAAGGATATATGTTTATTACTATAACATCAGGGCCCTGTGCATCTCGAAGGAGCAGATCAATTTCTCCCACTAATGGGCCCTATGCACAGCTCCACTACCTCCTAAACTTTAGCAGCTCCTTTGTTTCCTGTCTTTCATTGTCAGCTGATTAATCCAGCCATCTTCTGACATCTGCCTGCTCTCTGCTTTACACTTAGTAGATTTTTCTTCCTTCTCTTCAACTGTTATCACTTTTCTCCGCTGTCATATTTGGAGCTAAAAGCAAAGGCACACAATAGAAAAGCACAACCATAAATCAGCAAAACAACTTAAAATAACTACTTAAATTAGCTTTATTTTATTTTTTTTTACCTGGGCACAAATCAAACATTTTTCACAAGTGTCAGCCCAATCCAAATCAAATGAATGACTAACACACTCACTACAACGCAGGGCAGCTTCCCATTAGTTGCATTTGGTTGCGACAAAGAACATCCGCTTCATCTTCTGTTTTAAAAGTGGTGCACTCTTTTCCTCATCTTTAACAGCAGCGCAACCAGCTACCATAGCATCTGTTTCTGAGTACAACATGCTCATGTGCTCTTTCTACATGCAACATTCTCCCCATATTCATATAACATGAAAATCGGGGGCCAGTTTTCTGGGTACCAGTTTAGCCAGGGACAGGTGGTCAAAAACGTGGACTATCCCCAGAAATGAGGGACATCTGATCAACTTTTTTAATGCCTCTTCCTGTCATCCAAAGATGATGGGAGTTTATTTTCAACAGCTCAATTCAGACCCTGCAGATAATAGAATGGATCAAGCATAAGTCAACCATTTATGCACAACTAGGCATCCATGTCAAACAGCGGCCCCTCACCCTTCCTGCAGCGGCCCTGCTCCTAATAACTTCAGTAAAATAAAAAAGATACGATAAAATTGATCAAGATCACGATTTGGAATTCAGTGCAGATTTGTTTTTATATATCCCAAAGAATTATATGTATTCACAAACATGCAATACTCTCAATTGTTTGGCTGGATATCTGTTGACAAGTTGCAGAAAAACCAAAAGCTTATCAACAGGCGTCTAAAATTATTCTGACTAGATATTTTTCCCCAACCCAATCAGTTTGGTTAAGATTGTTGAAATTAATGAATATCCTGAGAAACAAACAGTTTAGCTTCTAACCAGCAAATATTCAATTCCGTTTAAGGTCAAGTAATTAATTGGATCTTTGTGTTTTAATATATTTATCAGTTTTTGCAACGGTTTCATCACTGTGTCGAAGTTCAAAGCAGCTTTTAGTAAAATTTTGGCTGAAACGGAAGAATTTTGAGGCATTCCTGAAACATCCACTTTTTTCGATGCCAAGTTAGCAGCGGCAATGAAACAGGTTAACAATGTCCCACCAAGTTTAGTCAGAACTCCTGTCAAATATATAGCAAAAATTTTGTTTTTTTAACCTTATCATTTACATTTTCTGTTCTAATACTTTTTTCTACATCACAAACAAAATATCGATCTCATTCTCTCTCCAACCCCTGACTACATTGATATTGACTATGTAGAGTATACCAAGTAGGTTGAGTTTAACTATAATCTGAAAATGATGAAAAAGATTGAAAGTATATTTGTGTTGATAATTTGATACCAATATTCGTTCTTTATTAGATTTGTGATAAACAACAGTATAACACTGCTCTCTGTTCTGTCATTAAGAGCCTTTACTCATTTTTACCCATATAAACTTATCCTTATATACCTTTATACTGCACTTAGAAATGGTGCCTGACCAATCAGATGATTCAGTTGTGTGGAAAATTAAGAGACCTCATGAAAAACTGAGTTCTATCAAAAAACATTTTTATATATTTAGTGGTCACCTTTTTTTTTTTAACTATCCATTGAAAGGATCATGATTTATTAAAGGTAGATGGCAAAATTGAACCCAGATTGAGTCACTAAACAAAAGCTAAATGTATGCATTTTAAATAAATTCCTCTGTGTTGTTAAATTGGATTTTAAATATAAAAACATATGATAGAAATAACACAGGCTGTCATAGTCTATCCTTCTTTTTTTTATATAGACTGTTTTTACCAGTGTTATTTTCAAGAAAAACATAACACTTCTGCATTGATGCAGTTCTGTTTTGTTACCTGTTCCCAGACAAAACTCAACAGCTCTTTGCTATCAAATCCAATGTGGCAAAATAGTTTGTCGTCATAGAAATGCTCAAAACTGCATTGTCTTTAGTATGTGCTTTGAATGCCGACATCTAAGTTAATTTACCACACCATATACTTTTTCACTCCCCTCCAACCGATAATAGTCTTCCATCATGCTTCTCTTATTCCATCCCTCCCTGTAGTCCATTGTGTAGCTTATGCAATATTGTTGATGATTTCAGTTGAAAAACCTCCCTGAGGCTGATGTCTAGCTATATGCTACACTCCATTGACTCTCCCCATCTAGCGAATTTCCCCTGATAGTGGTACCAGCTAGATGAAGCTATGAGGAGAAAAGAAAGAAACAAGAAAGGAGAGAAAAGGAAGGAGGAGAGCAGAGAGAGGTAAAAGTGGGATGGGGGTTAATGAAAGGATCTACTTTAGCTTAGTGGGAGAAATGATTGAATTGAGAGGGAGGGATGTGGGATAGAGGTATTCAATATTCAGTGTAGTTTTGGATTTTTGCCGGAAGGGGGAAAAGACATTCACCCATATCATTTTTATATTTTTATACCCCGGGCGCTGTGATTAAGGAATTGATAAAGTATTGACTTTGTAAGTCTAGACGGCTCTTTTATGAGGCTAAATGTCCTCAGACAAAAATTTGTTTAAATGGAGAATAGAAAAACATTTGAAAAAAACAATTCTTTACAGAAACGGAGTGATCTAAATTTGTTTTTGGCAAGAAAGCTGCAGCTTGATCAGGTGTAGATCATGTGATCATTAACGGGAGGTATACCTCTGCTAGAAATTTGATGATTTATTATTTTCTTTTCTAATTTGCAGCATATGTTATATGCAATATAAAGGGATCTTTTTGGGTGAATCTATGACAGAATTTAGCTTTCATCCAGTTTTCCTCCATTTCCTTTTTCCTGATGCAGATTTTATAATGAGCAGACACTGCATCTATAAGGCTTATACCTCTTTTTAAGGTTTATACCTTTTGGGGATCGATATCTTAGGGTTATGAATGTAAATAAAAGATTGAAAAGAAAAGACCATACATAAAAACCTTATGTTAGAAAGTCTTTTAATCCCTTGTAGAACCGTCTCTCCATTCAGCTGTTTAACTAGACTTTAGGAGTAAGAGGGGGTAAAGGATTTTCATAGGTATAAAGTATAATAAAAACTAGATTCAAAGAAAAACCAGTGACCATGAAAGTTGATAATCAGACAGCTTTTTGTAACGTTTGCACAAACAATTTTTCAGTTTCTGTGCAAGATAATCTGCACATATTTCAGAACTGTCACTCATAAGCGAACTCCCTCTGACTGTGGGTGTGGTTGAACATATGTCTAAAGCTGCCTGCTTGCTATGTGCACACCCCCTGTTTCCAAACGGGGCGAACCTGCCTGGTTTACTTTGGGATGCAGAGATTTTACGTTGTATTTTCCCCAAGTCTGATCTGTTTTGCTTTGCAGCTGTGTCTCTCTTGCTGTCAGACGCATGACATTGCTGCCAAATTGCTGCATAAATCTGACCAGAATAGAGCAGAAATCTACCCCGGTCAGAGATATGTGAGCACAGTTGCAGAAGAAAACATGTGCAGTCTGACCATCCCCATGCATTTTCAAAGAGGTGAAAGGTGTTAATCTCAACCGATGTGTTAAAGCCTTTATGTCTTTTATTTTTTTCAAAGCCCCAATATTTGATCTGCAGCGTTTTTTCAAGATCTGCCACAACATTTTCTCAAATCTAGGGATAAATCAAACATTAGATGATCACATTTCTTTCTGGCTTTTGCTTTGCAGGGAATGTCGCTTGCAAATGTCCAATTAGAAATTTTTTTAAGGCAACTTTCCGTTTATTTTAAGCTTCCTGACAGTATATGTTTACAGAGCTGAGATTTTAAAAGTTGAAAAGTACATCTGCCCAAAGGCTTTCAAATGTATGTTTTCCAGGTTTTGAGTTTATGTTATTAGAAGAAAATGTGTTTACATAACAGTATGGAAAGTTTGCTTTTTATTTACATGGTGTAAAAGCTTTTCTTTCAACACCCCTAAGGAAAATGTTGCATATTCAGTGTGGCGCTCTCCAGCACTCTGCCTTGTTTAATGATATCCAGCAGTGATGTAGCTGTAGTTGAATAAGTGGATTTATTCTGAATACTTATGAAACCGACAATGTTTTGTATAAATTATAGGCTTTAAAAGCAGGTAGACAGTTCATGTTCTAACTACTTAATACTGTGATTTAAAAGACTAATATAATACCAGCAGGAGACTGAGTTGTTCTTGACGGAGAGATTTGTGTAAGGGTGGAATGAGGAATGGTGTGAATTTAATGACTATTTCATTCAGTGGAAAGCTTTATAGTTAAATATGGTTCAACATCGGTCTGCATTTACTCTTCTCCCTCTGTTTTACTCCAGGGTGCATTGTTTCCATTACCTGATACCCCTCACCAAGCAGGGAAACTATGCCATCGTAGCCAATGTGGAAAGCATGGACTACGACCCCCTGGTGGTCAAACTGAACAAGGACATTTCAGCCATAGAAGAAGCAATGGGAGCTGCCTTGCAGCAGCACAAGTTCCAGTATATATTTGAAGGTATGCTGGACCAAGGGGGAACTTTCAATCTTTTGAAAAAAAAAAAAAAAGAAAAAATAGCTATCGCTACAGACTTTAGAGTGTTTTAGAATTTGATATATAAAACATTACAATCTATAAACATTCCAAATGCAAAATACAGCATGACTGAAGCACCCGGAATGCTCTGTGACTTGTAACATTCCATGTATCAAATTTGTAAAACATTTTAAGCACGTAGAATATTTTATAAATGGATTCAAAGATATTACAAATATGTTGAACTGGTATTCTGTAACCTGAAATGGGCAGAAATGGGAAAAGTTTGTCATTTTAGCTTAGATCAATCCGAAAATGGTAATGAATTTTTTTTTTATATATTTCTATGCGCCTGCTTATTTAAGGGTTAAAGGACTGAGAAAAAAAGTTTTGCATTTTAATGTAAAAAAATCTGTTGGAGCCCTGAGTCAAACACCTTTGAGCATTCTTAAAATGTTTTATTCTTTCTTTTGTTAACAGGTCATTCTTCTTCCAAATAATGTTTTTTTTTTTTTGGTTTTCAGGTCTAGGCCATCTCATCTCCTGCATTCTAATCAATGGGGCTCAATACTTTAAGAGGATCAGCGAGTCTGGCATAAAAAAGATGTGTAGAAACATCTTTGTTCTCCAGCAGAACCTCACAAACATCACCATGTCCAGAGAGGCTGACCTCGATTTTGCCAGGTCAGTCTGTGTTTTTGTTTCCTGTTCTTTCAGGATGTGCTTCAAAAGAAAACAAAATCATCTCACCTAGAGCTCTTACAGAGCCTTTCATCTGTTGTCACATACTGAGAAAGCAATAGGTTAGTTGCAGTTTTAAGGCAAGGAATACTTGGAGACATTGGTCAGATATTATTTGTTTTCTTTTTGACAGATTTCTTGAAGATACTAACACTTTTTAACTTGCATAGTATTGTTATTTTCCTTAAAGTACTTAGAATTCTGTGTTGTTTTTTTTTATTTTGTCTATGTGGACTTTTGAATTTAAATCCCTCTGAAATATTACTTAATAAATATAATAAACATGCATTCAAATTCCATCTTCTGCACATGAAAGCTTCCCTAAGCTCAGAAAGATACAATATCAAAGCACCAACAGATGGTCAACTGTTTAGTTTCCAAGGGGTCCTTATGTTTTCTTCATGGTCATCTATGTAAATCTGTAGCTGGTGTTTTCTGCTGCTTTCCAGCAACGACAGGTGCCTACATCCTGAAGCACATGGCACAAAGAGGGGACTATGTATTTATGCCATTTTCTTCCCAGCTTTCTTGAAAAAATATGCCATTTATGTGAGTAACCGGGTTGAGGACATGATAAATATGTAAAAGAGTCCCGAGGATAGAAAAGATTTCCATCAGTTATCAAGAGCAGTTTGAAGGGAAAGTTGAAAAGGTTGCATGAATAAAAGTTGGTTTGCATGACTGCAAGACATGTGCTGTACGCAGAGATAATGGTTATTTAAAGCTAAAAGGTTAAGGAATGAAGGGTTTTAAAATTAACAGCTTGAAATGCATCGTCTTTTAACATCTCTTAAAATGTGTCACTTTTTTTACTACTCTGGTGATTGCGTGCCAGGCGAGTTTGGACATTATTATTTATAGACTTTGGTTTATACAGTATGTAGTGCCAAAAAAAAAAAAAAAACATGCTTAAGAGGTAAAGTGTATTGACCTGAACTGTTATGGACTCTACTGGATGCGGAGGTGATTAGCATGTTATTTCTTCCTCCTGTCAGCTTTGATTACAGGGAAATGGGGGTGATGGCTTTTTGTGTCTTTTCTCTCTTTCTCCCACTCTCCCTGATTACGAGGCGTGGGCGGTGTGGAAGTGTTGATTGGGAATTGCAAAGCTCATTGTTTACACATTCATGGCTTTTTGGATTGGCCGGCCTGCGGCTTCTAGACACAGACTGAGACAAAATCCAGACATACACACACCTGTAGTATATTCCTCACTCCCACACAGAGAAAAACGCACAAAACAGCCCATTAACATGCATATATATCTATATAGATATATATCTATATAGATATATATCTATGTAGATATATATAGTGTGTTTTTATTGATTTTTTTTACCTAGTAGTAGAACTTGCAATATGTTGCTTCAAAATACAATTCCGATTATAATTAATTACAATATTATCTATGACCATAATTGATCTTTCCAGTCAGTTGTGGAAATAATAAATATTGATTGTTTCGCTCAGTAGATGTATATCTAATAGAGCTGTACACATGAAATTCACATCAGTTATTGGGAACCACCCAAGTAATCTACACATACAGGAAAATCAACATAAATTAGTTCCTAAATTATGTTTCATAAGTGGAATAACTCATTGCTCTTGTGGGAAATAATTCTGCTTAATGTCAGCGCAAATAACTATCAGCTACTCTAGTCCCACTTGATTGTTTGCATAATGGTTTCTCATTGCTAATGTATCATCACACATGAGGAATTGCATCATGTGTAAAAAAAAAACAATCTCTTCAGACCTCTGCAGTATTTTCTGATTGTTGTTTTTCTTTGGAGCATAGCTGGAACCATAACTAGCTTCAACAAGGTGGTCCTCAAAGGATTTCTGATATTTGATTTCCTTATCAGTCAATAAATCATCAGATATTTTGTTAGCAAGGACCTCTTACTGATTAAAGGCATTAGATTAGCAACAAGCATTAATTATGCATACTAACTGCTCAGAACTACAGTAAAGGTATCGTGGAGGATTTTTTAAAAGACCCACCCTCTTCACTTAAAAAAAAAAATGCACGTGCAAGAGCGTGCACAAGCCCATTTTTCCATGTGCACTCCCTGTTTAAAATGTGCTGTTCTCATGGCTAATACAAGCTTACTGTATCCACATACAGCGAGGACTATATAGTGGACTTCTTGTCGCACTCATTTAACTTACCGTTCGGATAGATGATCACTGTTTTTGCCCTCTTTGTCATGTAACTCCTCCTCCACTGTGCGATGCCTGCACCATCTTTGTTATTATTCGCCGCTGTCGGATAGCGACAGCAAGCCGCAGTGACAGCAGATCCCATAATGCTTTGTGAAGAGAGCTCTCCACGCAAAGCATTCTGGGATATATCTGCAGTTTCTGAGGCCTTTCTTTTCTTCTCATACACTTCTTAGATACTTTTTCTCTTACCACCCCGGGCCATTTTCAAAGAACCGTGGTGAGAAAGGTAAGCTTCAATGACCGTTTGAAACCACAGCTATACGCCTGAAAGTGCTCATGCGCAGAAAAAGATAACTAACAGGGCGAGCGCGTAGAACGGCCCTATGTAAACATATCACCAGAATGATTTACAGTTATGAGGAGCACTTATTTAGATGTTCTACCAGGAAATAAAAGATTGTCCTCTATACCTTTAATAGGAAAAACCCATGAAGATAAAAATGTAAGTCTACATTCTAAACACCATGTTTGATGAGAAAATTCTTCTGTAAATTTCTCTGCCAACAGTAAAGTATAGATTGAAAAATCTCTGGAAATACCAGAAGATCATACCAGATTTGACCACAGTGTTGGTCAAAGAAGGCGTGTTTTATTTAGTCGATGGCTATATATGATAAATGTATTCTGGTGCATTAAATCTAATTTCACTTTGTTTCACAAGACCTTCTGTGAATGTTTGTTTTTTGCAATCAGTAGGCAGCTATTTTTCCCAAATAAATTAGATTTTCTCTAGATTATATTTTCTTTTTTATTATGTCTGGAATTTTTTTTTTTATTTAGATGTTGTTGCCCCTCAGTTTTCTATAATTAAACCATCTTCTTCTGTTACACTTAAACACTTCACATTTATTCACATTCTCAATACAATACCATCTGCAATAAGTTGCATTGGTGTGTAAAAATACTTAAACTACAGTAATACAATCTTATTTTTTTGTGACTCAAGCACATTTCTCTAAATATAGTTCCTTGGTATTAAGCAAACTCCACTTATCTGTGTATGTGATGATAGTAACAAAGTAAACATGTTAGTCCTTCATTGTCTCCCAGACAACAGGTTGGTATGGAGATTATGTTTATTTAAAGAAACCTTTGTTCATATTTCCTCTTTCTTATTTCAGAAATTTATCAATGACCTTAAAGTAAAAAGGTTATTTTGAGACTTGATGGCTTTTTTATGGCATCTTTTCTTCTTTTGCTGTTTGTTTAGCAATCCTAGATGATGAATAGTGATTCAGTTGTGTCTCCTGCCACCTTCCAGGACTAAGAAACTTATCTGATTTCTAAGAGAATGTTGCACAGATTTGTAATTGAGTGAGTAATCATCTTTGCTACACCTTTAGAGTAAAGATGCTGCTGAGACATGCAGCATTAACCCTAATTGGCAATCACAAAAGAATCTGAAAGGATGGAACTGATGGAGCGATGTTTATTTTTAGGTTTCCTGGAAGGAAATGACCGATGTTAGAAAAAAGCTGAATATCTGCTGCAGTTGTTTCCAGGTGTAACTGTGCACCTGTTTCTGTTTCTGTGTGTGCTGTATTATTTTTGTTTGTGTTTTTGTTGCAACCATGTGGAAAAGTCGTGTACAGGAGAACCATAGCAACCAATGATCTGGGTTAAAACTACACTAAGGCCCAGTTGTCAGCACTGCAGAACAAATGAAGACATGCGCACACAATCTTTTTTTGACTTTCCCATACAGTAAAGAATACTGGGCAAACAGTGTCACCTAGTGGTGAAATCCATGTTTACACTCAGTAGAAAAACCTGTGATATCTTACAGAACATCCAGTTGTAAATATTCCACCTGCTGATATAATCTGTTTGTGAGTGTGTGTGCGCGTGTGAGCAGGTTGTAGTTGTATCCTCCCAAAGCAGCCTCATGTCGCTCAGTCAGAAGTTTGGCAGCAGCATAAGCTTCTATGTCAAGGTCAAACACACATACACCCACACGATCAGAGAAACACACACACTCGGACCATCTGCTCAGAAACGGGACCTGTTTTGCAAACCAGTGTGTCACCGCAAAGTCACTTCTGTGTGTGTTGTTTACTGACGGCGCACTCAACCTTATCACTGCACTGATCACCTCTTATTGTCCGCTATAAACACACCTCTCTCGCGCGCGCGTGCTCACGCTCTGTCTGCTTTTGCTGATATTTATTTTTTTGTGTCACAAGCTGAGATAAGTCAAAAATGAGAAATTGCTTGTGAGTCTTTTATCTTGGAGGGAAAAAACAAAACAGGAGAAGCCTCAGTGGTAACACGACAGATACAAAAATTTAAAATGAGACTGAAAATAGATATTAAAGTACTTTTATATAGGTCAATGAATGGGATGTGTTTACATGTACTTAACATTTGCTTCTTGATGAGAAAAGGGAAAAAAATATTCCTGATATCAAATTAAAAGATCATACTATTAGCTGCTTATTTGACTGTAATCTTTGTAAAAGATCTCCTTATTATCTGTTATTGTACTTTAAACTCAGATTGTATTTGTTGAATATTTAAGAAAACAAAAATTCAGGTTCATACAATTGCAAATTTTATTAAAACACTTTTACAAGTCTGAATAAGCAATGATGGAATGCTACTGGTTAATGGCTTTATTTCTTGTCCCCTTTCTGAAAACATCCATTCACTGATGCTTTCCTGTATCCTTCTGTCCATCCAGCCATCCCAACTTTCTATACTGATCTGCTGCTTTT